GCGCCTCGGGGGGACAGGGGACAGTGCCTCGGGGACAGGGCGCAGCGCCTTGAGTCGCACGCAAGTCTGTTCTGAGTCAATGCTGTACCTGCTTTCTCGACGTGTTCCAGGAAACGCCACTGAGGAACAGCCCCAGCCCTCCCAACAGCACTGGAGGCACGATTGACAGCGATAGCTGGGATCCTCGCTTCAATGACACCCCCTCCTCTGTCTCCCTGCCCACCAAGAACAGAAAGAACTTCAGTCAGCTTAAACGAGCAAAACCATATGGTTCCCTGTTCCAGCGGGCAAAGGCCAGCAACTTCCTGCCGGAGCGAAAACAAATCGATAAGATCAGGAAGAAGAAAAAGCTGAAAAGGAGGGAAACAGAAGTGTCTGCAGAGGAGGACTACGAGGAGAAGCTGCTGGAGCTGGAGGCAGAGGACTCTTACGCAGAGACACCGATGAGCCCCTCATCAGAGGGCGACCCGCAGTCTGTGACCGAGCACTGCTCGGTGTGGGACTCTGACACCCCATCCAGTGTGTCCTACCCCGCTGTGACAGCCGAGCAGACGGTGGAGATCCAGAGTGTGGGCAAACGAACGGTCATTCGGCAGGGCAAGCAGGTGGTCTTTCGGGATGAGGACGGCACTGGTGACGATGAGGACATCATGGTGGATTCAGGTAGGTGGCCTGGCTGTCCAAGAGGATCAGCCAGGTGGAAGTGGCGGTGCTGTTGCCGATTTCTTTGGTACTTTACCTGTAGCATGAGATTAATGCTGAGCAGTGCTGCCTGGGCAGTTAGGATTTTGGTGGAAAAGGGGGGGTTGGCTCCTTTTGCAGTAAACTGAGTGAAAAGCTGCAACTTTATAGAAGCAGCTGGTTCTCCTCTCCTCCCATGTACTGCTGAGAGTCTCTTCCCATGTAGGGGAGACCTGAAAAAAGCAGCAAAGTGCCTGTCTTTGAAACCCAGGAGGTTAATTTAGCACAAAAGGAGAGAAAAGTCCCAGTGTGGGTGTGAAGGCTCGACCACTAAAAAACGTGGCTTTGCTCTTTGTCTTTGCAGATGACGACTCGTGGGACCTGGTCACTTGCTTCTGCATGAAGCCTTTCGCCGGGCGGCCAATGATCGAGTGTAACGAGTGCCACACCTGGATCCACCTCTCCTGCGCCAAAATCCGCAAGTCGAATGTCCCCGAGATCTACATCTGCCAGAAGTGCCGGGACTCCAAGTTTGACATTCGCCGTTCGAACCGCTCCCGGACGGGCTCGCGCAGGCGCTTTCTGGACTAGGGGGAGGCGGTGCTGGTGCGCTGCGCGGGCGGGCGAGCCGTGGGTGCTGGCTGGGAGGCCGGGAAGGGCTTCCCCAAACTGCTGCTGCTTGGGCGGGAGAGCTGCCCGGCTGGCCCGCGGCGCAGGGACGAGGAATCGCCAAGCCGCGGGCAGCTGGGGCTGGGAGAGGCCAACTGGTCAGAACTGCGGCGAGATACTGACTGTCTCGAGGGACAGATGAAGCTCTCTGAGCTCGGTGGAGTTTTGTCCGGTTACGATGACTGGGTGATGTCTGGGGAATGTACAATACCTTTGCCATGGAGGTTTTCTCATCCCATTGGAAACTGCAAATCCTCTCTGTGCTAGGAAACTCCTCCTCCAAAGAGGGAGGGGAGGAGGAGGAAGTCTATGTGAAGAGTCTGAAAAGTAAATGGCCCTGTGTTTTAAATTCAATGAAATATTATACCTGCCCATTTTTCCGTATAGATCAATCTTAGATATCCTAAGGCTCAGTAGGAGCCAGCGTCAGTGCTACCAGCCTCTGTGTGATCTGCTGCCGCTTCCACAGGCTTGGGAAAATGGGAGTTCTGCAATTTGGCATTGCTCAAGTGCAAACGGGACTTGGGGCTCCCTCCTGTGCCAAGGGACAGCACCCTGGCAGGAAAGAGCAGCCCTTTTTCTGGACAGGCAGCATGGGGGATCAGTGGCATCGGATTCTTCCCTACAAGGTCTCTTCACAGTGATTTTTCATGATTTTATTTGCATGATCAGCTCAAATGTGTGTATGGAGGGAGACTGCTCCGTTTCCTGTCCCTTTGTTAACCTCTACGGGGCTGTTTTAAGATGATGACTCTCCCTCTTCTCAGCCCAGAATTCAAACATGGACTCTAAAAGGGGCCAAAGTAAATGTAGAGCCTGGCAGGTCTGGCTGGGATTTGATCATGTCCATCCAAGTACAACAGCTGAGTTGATTTCTGTTTTCACTGTTTTTTGAGACTGGACTGTAACCAGAAAGCCAGAATCTTTAACCTACTGGTAGCAATGACACAGCTCGAAGCGAACGCAGGCGATGCAGCTACAGGGTGAAGTGCAATGAGGATCCATCCAGTGTGGGGTGGACAGGAAAGCAGGCCCCAGCCAGCCTCAGCCCAAGGGAAATCCCTCCAGAACCACGGTGGGGAGTCACAGCTCATACACAAGGCCAGGGAGATGCTGGTGTTGTTCCTCGATGACCAAATGCATCTCCGTGGGTCACACAAATTGAGTTGATGTTTCAAGGTATTTCTCTGAAGTTCTGCCTGGAGAATAGTGTATGCTCTGTCCAGGGAGACCAGGAGGCTCGGGGAGACACTGGCTGGTACCGCAGCCACAGCCAGACCAGCTGTGCCAGCAGGAACATGTCCCGAGTTCTGCAGTCACAGCATTGGAGCACTGCCTTGTCTGAGGACTAGCTCACTGGGAGATGTGCCCTGGTGATGACTGAGGGTCTTGCCAGGACACAGGGTCTGGTGCCCTTCTTCAGACATATGTGCTGGAGCTGCCAAAGCCTCAGGCAGCCCAGTGCCACGAGGTCCTGGGCTCCATGGCGTGGGACATGGGGGCACAGGAGGTCTGCCAGACTGGCAGGGCAACAGAGCTGCGTGAGACTTGCAACTTCTGTCCTGCTTCTCGATAAAAATCCTATTCCACAAAGCTGCAACAGCTGACTCTGGGTTCAGAAAACCAGCTCCAGCTTCTGTGAAATCTCAAGACCATGACCATGCTGTGCTGCCTTCAGAAGCTACATGGAACCACCAAGGAGTTTGCCAAAGACTCGCCCCTGACTGCTGCCTGACTGTCCTTTGCAGCCAGAAAAATAACCAAAGCACTCCAATGCTGCCATTTCACTCTGCAACCGGAAAGGCTTAGGAAGGTCCCAGCTGCTGCTGCACAAGGGTTGGACCCGTTCTGGAATCGGTCTCTCTGTGTTTGCAGCGTGTCCACAGTTCAACTGGACCTCCATGGAGCACGTTCCTGAAGCTTTTATGGGTGCACTGCCAAGTGAACTGGCTCTTTTTTACAGAGGTTCGACACTAATCAATGTGACTGACTCTTGTTCTGTTCCCTTTTCAGATTTATCCCAGTGGATGGTGTCTGACAAGTCCAGCACGTTACAATATCAGCAGAGAGAAATAAAAAAGTAACATCTCCATTCTTTTAGTTCATCACTTTCAGCCATGTATAATTATAGTTTAATTCAGAACTTTATTTTTTCATTAAAACTTTTAATGAACCATGTTTTTTTCTTAAATGTGAAATAAGTGAACAATGAGTTTGTTTTATTCCAAACTCGGGAGTCTGCTGTTATGATTTACTGGTGTGTGCACTGTTGTGCCAGGCAGCAACAAGATCTGATGCTTCAAATGCTCTTCCCTAAACAATATACCCAGTCAGGCAGGGATAGGAGGTAAAGGCAGGTATACCCACCTTTCTCCAGAGCAGCTGCTCCTTGCCAGCCTCTGGTGCGAGATCAGGTCCCTGCAGCCTTGGAAAAAGCCCTGGGGGCTGCACTGCATCCGCCTCGTGAGGACTGGCTGCTTGGCCAGACCCAAACCAACCCCCTGAGAACCCTCCAGGAGCTGTGCTGAAGGAGAGCTCCCTCCTTCCCTCCCCACTGCCAGAGGACTCCAACCTACCCAAGGGCTGCCTAAGCCTTGGTGCCACCCTGCAGCTCCGGTATGTGCCATGACCCTGCAGCCACTGCTGCTCAGCCAGCTGCCATCAAAGCAGCCTTAACATCTTGGCAAACTGAAAAGGTGGCTCAACCTTTTGCATATGGCACTAGGTCATACTGGAAGCTAAGCTCTCATGGCTTATAGCTTCTCTTTTAATTCTGTTGGTAATTTTGAATTATACAGAGAATTGAATTATAAAGAGAAGTCCCAGGGAGCTGTGGCTGTAAAATGGCAGCTGCTCACAGCAGGACTGTGATTCCACAGTGGGGCTGTTCTTACAGTCTTGGCAAAACTTGTCACTGACAGAAAACAAGGAAGAAAGTAGTAGTTGGGCTGGCCAGTAGCAACTGGCTCCCAGGGATGCTCTTCTGGGAATATTCTGCCATGTCCTAGTCCTTGCAGGCTGGCTCTCACTCCTGACCATACACCTCACACAGTGAAAAGACACGAAAAGGGAACTTCTGGTAGAGATTTCTGCCCAGTCCCTCAAGTCCCACCCAGCAATGACCAGCAGCAGTCAATGAGCTGGATGGAATGGAGGGTGCTATTATGTTTACAAAACCTGCAACCCTTGCTTTCCAGGGGTTTATTTTTAGGAGTCTCCTACAGATGCAAAGGGATGGGAGCTGCTTTTCAGCTGAATATAATTTATTGCACATTTTACATTTAATTTCAGATCAACAGAACACTGGTTGTAAGTGAAATAAAGCCCTGCACCAGGAGCTGGTCACAAATGAAGAGTTTTGGTTTTAATAAAAACAAATGAACACCCCTTCACAACATGAACTTGTTTTTTAGAGAAGGGAGCATCTCTTTCAGACTGCCTCAAACAAGTCTACTTTTGGAAATCTAGTTCTCCTGTTGCAGTGATCTGAGCACAGAGAACCAAAGCTGCCCAGAACAAGGGCCAGGCCCATGTCAGGAAAGGAGTTATGGCAGGAGTTGTCAAGAGCATTTCTGCACTGCCAAGACATGGGTGTTTTCCCCTCTGCTCTCACCAGTGAGCAGTGAAGGCTGGTCTAGACTCACCTGGAGCAGACATGTGACCAAGGAACAAGGATTCCTTGTCTCTCTGTAAAAGCCTTGGTGGTGCTGACGTGCCCAGTGTGTAGCAGATTCTACAAGGTGCCGTTTTCAGCTGCTGTGTCACCAGCCCAAGACTGTCCCTCCACTGGAAATCCCTGGCAAGGCTTCTAGGCAAGATAAATCCCATGGATTTATGCCATAACTGCTGCTTTTCAGAAAGGGCAGCTGAACGTTACATTTTCAGCTCTTTATCCATTTGGCCTCTCTCCTCACTTTGGTCTGGTTTACTTACATGAACTACGTTTGTTTTACCTAGAAATAAATTAGATGGGAAGAGATAGTTGCAGCATCAGAATCGAATTAAATGAATTGCTGTCTTTCTTCTCACTAGCTCTCCTATTTTTCCAAAAACCTTGATGATACATGGATGTGGATGGCAGAAGAATTAGTAAGAGTATGATACCCCATGTCCTTGTCTGGAATAGCAGTGTTGGAAATAAGCAGCTGGACAGATTGGTGCTGAAGAGGTCAATGTTACTACAAAAGGCAAAGACCTTCATACTTAATAAAAGTATGAGGTTAACAAGTGCATTTCAAACACAGATTTGAGATGGAAACTCTCTGACCTCTTTCCAACAAAAAGGCTTTGCACAGGGGACTTCCAGGAGGTGGCCCGAGAACTGAAATTCCCCTCAGGAGCAGGAAAAGGTGTGTTAACTGCCCCAGGAAGTATGTGGAGAAGTGAGAACAACAGGTTTTCATCCCTGCTCAGTGCCAGGAGGTACGTGTGAGCGCACGAAGGGGCCGTGGCCAGCTGGCAGGAGGGCACCTGCTCAGCCCTCTGGGCAGAAAGCACTGTGCACTCAGAGTCACGCTGCTTTATTGAGTACCAAGCCACAATATTGCCTTGAAGCTGCCTGGAGCAGCAGGGTCTCTCCTTTTGTCCCTAACAGAATCAGCAGGACACCACCGGCGATATGGACAGTAAAAATAAAAGTGTCTCTGTTCAAACTTGCAGCGTCCGGGGGAGGTTGTGCAGTTTCCATTGACCCAGGTCCCGTGGCAGACACGAGCTCCCAGATTAGCCATCAGCATCAATCCTGTGAGCTGTCAGGGAGAACAAGGAATGGACACATGCTAGAACCCACCACCGTACCAGGAACAGGCAGGAGCATTTCTGGCTGCTAATTAAACACGACTCATATACACCTCCCAAGGCACTTCTGGAAGCTCTGTCAGTTGGATGTGCTGCTCACACTGGCCAGGGAGCTGGTCTAGAGCAAACAGAGGTCTGTGCCTTTGATCCAACCTGCCAGACCCACAGAGGTGACAGTAAAACTTGTCACGAGGTTTCACAGAGTTATTCCAGCAGGGAAGATGTTTTGGCAAGTAAGACAAATGGGGACAAAGAAGAAATCTGGCTCAGGCCTCCAACATGCCTCCATACATTCAATTCAGTCCCCATGCTACTCACATTGCTTTGGTATCCTAAGGGCCTCGTTGTCAGCTGACATCACTTGGTGCAGAACTCCTCGGAACTGATAAAGCACTTTCAAACTCTTCTCCTCACCCACACAGGGGTCGTAGAAGCCTGGCAGCCCAGCCTTCAACCAGAAAAGGACAAACTGAGCATCAGGGAATGGACTTTCACAGTTCTTCAGCTGGCCAGAAACATCTATTAGTGCCAGGACAAGTGTCATTAAAAAAAGTTTTGCTGCCAGAAAGGTGAGATG